TAAACGGGGACTGTTGACCATTTCGGCGTGAAGCTTTAATTTCTGCTGTGAATCGAATTTCCGGCATCAGAAGCCTCTTCCAGAACATCCAGGAATACTTCATTCTGAGACTCTCGCGTCAATGCTTGAGAAGACAGCGTAGTTGGACAGATTTTAACATTGGGTATAATAATTATTTGGATTCAAGTTACTTCCTCCTCCTCCCCCCTCCTCCTCCTCCTCCTCCTCCTGTATTCATCTGCTTGTGCATTTGCTCCCTGGCTTTCTCCAGTCTGACCTCTTCGACTCGCAGATCAGCGACTTTGCGAGCGGCACGCAGGCTGACCTGGAGGCGGAGGTGAGAAAAGGCGGGAGAGATGAAAGAGTGAAGAGAAAGGAAACAGACAAGGCGGAGAAGAGAAGGAGAGGAGAGAAGGAGAGAAGAGAAGGAGAGGAGAGGAGATGGAGAGGGAGGAGTTGGAGAGGAGCGGAGGAAGCGAAGAGGACTGGAGCTTGGGTGTATTGACGGGCAGCAGGTGGCGGATCTGAGGACTAAGAATGTGATGCTGGAGGAGGAGGTCGAGGCTCTTCGAGCAGAGCTCATGAAGAAGTAAATGTGATCCCGAGGGAGTCAGGGCAGAGCAAGAGGACCAAACTTTAGTTGGGAGGGGAGGGAGGAGGAGAGAAGAAGGAGGGGAGGGAGGGGATGAGAGAGGAGAGGAAGACTCTGATGAGATGTATGGTATTGAATAGACTTGTTTATTTCACCTCCTCGTCTCTCTCGTTGGATATTTCAGTGTTGGTGTCTTCCTGCTCGCTGCTCCTGTGCCAGCCTTGACTCGCATACTTGTCTTCAACCTCCTCGCCGGAGTCTGTGCCGAGTCAGTGAGACAGCAGAGGAGAGAAGCTGGTGGAGGGGAGAGGAGGGAGAGGAGGGGGCAAGAGCAGGTCCATCATTACTGGTTTCTCTGCTGCTTCCTCCAGCCCTGCCGTGCCTGACTTCGCCTCCTCCAGCTCACGCGGGGCCTCCAGCTGTTGGCATGTATCAGTGATGGGTCAGGTAGAGGAGAGGAGGGAAGGAGCGGAGGGAGGGGAGGGAAGGAGAGGGAGGAGAGGGAGGGGAGGGAAGGAGAGGGAGGGGAGGGGAGGGGAGGGGAGGGGAGGGAGGGGAGGGTTCACTTCAGCACGAGCAGCAGGCTGATCACAGGCCACGTCCAGCACGACCAGTTCATCCTCGTCGCTTGACGTCGCGTCCTCACTAACACTGAGCGATCGCTGGGCAGTGCTCTGCTCTTTCACGTCCATGAGGTTGTGGAACTCGTTGTCCTCCTTCCCGCCTCCTCCTCGCCGCGTGTACTGCGTGCTCGGAACTTCCTCCTTGACTCTGCCATGCTAGATCAGCGGGTGAAAGCTCTTGCATCCAGACACCTCTGAGTATTCTCCTTCTCCTCCTCCTCCTCCTCCTCCTCCTCCTCAAGCTGCTGCTGCTGCTGCTGCATGTATTTTGCCTCCAGCCCCTCCAGTCTGCCCGCAGCCTTAGGACGAGGAAGTTTTGCGATGCCCGAGAGCTTTTTCGCAAGCTCCCGGGCGTCTTGAATTCTCTTCTGCCAGCTCTTCTCCTCTTCACCATCCCGCTTCACCATCCCCCCTATCTTCTCCTCTCCTCCCTTCTCCTCTCCTCTGCTCGTCTTCGTCTCTACGCTCTTGTCGCGCTGCTCGTCCTCAAACATCAGAGTTCGCGGCAACGACGTGAGATCTCTCGACCTCCACGTTGCTCGCGAGCTCTTCTTGCTGCTCCAAACACACACACACGAGATGCTCCATCAGCTCCCTCCTCTCTCCACACTTGTCTCCTCCTCGCGTACCTCTCCCTCTCCCTCACAGCAAACGGGCTCGTGACCTTGGACAACACTTCTTCCACATCGTGAATGGCAGCATGGACCTGCTTCCGACACTCAGCAATCTCCTCCTCCACCACCTCCTCCTCCTCCTCTTGTTGTCTTCTTCTTCCTCTCTCTTCACCTCGTTCAGGTTGCTTTCCATCTCCCCCAGGCCCGTCGCATGCTCAGCCACCTGCTGAGCTCTGCTCGGGTCGTAGGATGACGCAATGCTTCTCTCGTACTTGCCTCCAACCTTCACCTCGATCATTTCCTCTCCTCCCCTTCCCCTTCCCCTCCTCTCCCATCCTCTGTCCCCTCCTCCTCCTCCTCTGTGCCCTTCCTCCTCCTCCTCCCCTCCCCCTCCCCCTCCTTCTCACCTGCACAGTGGAAGCTGGTTCGGAGAGGCTCGGCGATTGATACTTCCCCCGAGACTCAGGGGTGACGAGCTGCTGACATGTCAGAGCAGCAAGAGGAGGAGTAGAGCACCTCAGCCAACGAAGAGAGCTCCTCTTCCCTCCTCTTCTTCTCTTCCTCTCCTCCGACGGAGCTGGAGGGAACGGATGACTTCGTCTCCTGGTCAGTACGGCTGCGGAGGAGGGAGTTCTCCTTCTCGAGGGCCTCCATTCTCGCCTTCAGCTCCCTCATCTCCTGCTCGAAGCTCGACAGCTTCGGCTCCTCTTCTCGCCTTTTCCTCGCTCTGCCGGATGCCCGCTTTCCTTCGTCCTCCCCAGCATCGGGGGCGTCGGGCGGGGGGAGGTCGAAGGACTCAGGAGCGCAGCGGTCGAAGCAGGTCTGCTGGAGCTTGTTGCGGATCGAAGGGTCAGCGCCCTTGGAGAGGAGGTAGTGGCCGAGAGAGAAGTACTTGAGGGCGAAGCAGAAATGCAGGCAGGTGTCGCCCCTCCTGTTCTGATGGTTCACGTCGCACCTCCTCCTCAGCGCCTCCTTCACGATCCTCTTGTGGTTGTTCTGGCAAGCCACGATCAGCACTGTGTTCCCTTCCTCGTCCTCCGCGTCCACCGGCACCCCCTTGTCCAGCAGCGCCACCACATCCTCCCTCCTGTTGTGCCTCGCCTTGCTCAGCAGCACATGCACGTTGAGCATCGAGAGATCCGGCGCATCGCGTCCTCCTGGTCCGCGGGCTGTGGCAGGGCCAGCAGGCACAGGAGCGAAGCTCGTGCTCCTGACCGGTCGGGATGTTGTCGCTCCTGACCTTCCGGCCGCTTCCTGCTCATCTCCGACCCCTTCGAGCAGGCGAGCAGTGGCGAGGCCATGGCTCGCGGCTGGTCGGAGGGGCAGCGAGAGGTTCGTGCTCCTTCCTTGCTCGCTGTCGCCGGTCTCGGGCCTCTGCCAGTCGCGAGCGGTGAAGGGGAGGGCGGCGGACTCGCCGGGAGTCTCCTCGGAAAAGAAGGTCCTGGTCAAGATCGCGTGCTGGATGGCGACGCCCCACATGCGAAGAGCAGGAGCATTGAGAGCCTCCAGCTCGAGCCTCTGCTTCCCCTTCAGCTCGAGAGCCAGCCGCAGGTGCCGCTGCGACTCTTCCCCGGCATGCGCGAACTCACCGACGGCAAGGTCGCCGGGCAGGACGAGCTGGACGTTGAGGAGAGAGAGAAAGTACTTGCGGTCGTCCGGGGAGGCGACGGGGCCCCAGGAGAGCGAGTCTGCGCTCGAAGACATCTTGAAGAACATCAGCTGGACCGGGCGACCGCGGGAGCTGTACTTGAGGAGGGGCCCTCCTTGCATGGCGCCGGCCATGCACTCTCTCCTCTCCTCGTCTGTAAGGCTCTGCACGTGTCGCTTCCACGTCGAGTCGAGGGGGGTGGAGGCTTGGTTGTAGTTGGTCTCGTCACTGTCCTCGTCCTCCTCTGCGAATCTGATCGTGGCGTTCTTCCTCCGGTCTGGTTCAGCATCATTCTTCGAGGCCCCGCCTTTCAACTTAGAGGATCCTTTACCATCCCCCTCCTCCCCCTCCTTCTTGGCCAGCCCTTCTCTCGCCGTCTGCATGCCTCCGGCCTTCTCTAGCACATTTCGGAACGTGAGCGCGCGGGCAGTCATGGCGGAGGGGATGGAGATTTTCGGGATCGCCGGCTTCCTGCCGCTTCCCTGCTGGGCATCTTGAGCCTCCTCCTTGTCCTCGGCAGCGGCTGGAGGAGGAGCGACGGGTGAGGGTACGAGAATGGAAGTCTTGGCGAAGAGGTGGCGGGCGAATAGCGAGGTGAGATGTGCTTTCCTCTTCATCTCTGACGCTGCTGGTCGGATCAGCAGCGGGCCGAACAGCTGGGCAAGAGCGTCGATCCTGGTCTCAAGCCCGTCTTGATAGAAGGCCTCATGCTCCACAGAGACAGCAAGCACGAGCTCGCGCAGGGATCGGAGGAAGGAGAGGTTTTCCGCGGGCAATGCGTGCGTGATGCTGCGCAGGCGCTCGTGTCTCTCCTTGTCGTCGGACAGGGAGCAAGCATCCATGATCTCGTCCCTCAGCATGGAGGTGCACACGGCTTCCTCCTTGTCGCGCAGGAAGTAGACGATGAGCGAGGCGATCGCGTGAGGGTCTTGTGGCGGCATGCCGGGAGCATGGCCGTCACTTTCAAAGTGCTTCAGCACCTCCGCGGCTTGTTCCACAGGCCTCACTTCCTCGAAGATTCCGCGGACGTTGCCTGCTACCTGAGCGAGGGAGACGATGGCGGCTATGATGGTCTCTGCCTCTGCCTTGATCTTCTTGGCATGTTTTTCAGTCTTGCGCTCGATCCGATTGTTCTCCTGGTTTTCCATCCCCTCCCTGGCGTTTGTCTTCTCCTTGCCGCGACTTGATCCCGAGGCAGGAGAGTCGTTCCTTCCGAGACCAAGCGGATCATTCGCTTCGTCATGCTTGTCGATCTTGTTCTTGGGCTCGTCCGAGGAAGCTTTCTTGGATGACTTCTTTAGCAGCCCCATAGTCCTGGCTGGAGCGAGATCTTCAAATCACCGGACTGTCGGCCATCCCTCTTGTTTCAGGCTGAAGGATGATAGTTCACGCGAGTTTCCATGTCTCTCCTTGACCTCAACTGCCATGTATTGCTCCTGCTCCTGTTCTGCACCAAACCGTGTTCCTATTCTTTGCCCTTGCGTGCTCTACCAACCTGAAACACTCGTCCGACACATCGTCCCTGCCCTCCTCCACCTCCACCAACTCCTTGACTACCAGTTTCCTTCTTCTCTCATGCACTCCTTACAGTGCTCCTCTGCTCGTCTCCTGGCCCTCCTCCTCCTCGCCTCCTCTCTGCTACCTTCCTCCTCGCCTCCTTCGCTTTCGCTTGTGAACTTCAAACGGCCCTGACAGCCGAAGGAAAAAGAGATATGGTTATGAGGGCGATGATGCATGGCTGGGGAATGAGGGAGATGAGCGTGGATCTGAGGGTAGGGGTGGTTTACTGGAAGTGAGGGGGTAGGGCAAGGGAATTGGGGGTGATCAGAATAGAAAAAGACCCCACCTCTGTCTTCTTCATTGCTCTGTTGGGGAAATACAGGGGTAGGGTAGTGGCAGTGCATTGCGTCATCGATGAGGACGAATGCAGGGGGAGAGGAAAGGGAAGAGGGCGAGGAGGGAGGGTGAAGGAGGAAGTGACCAGGTACGACGACATGTGTGGAAGAGTAGATCAGACAGGATAAACCGGCAGAGCACAGGGACAAGGAGACGTGAAAAATGAAGCCTTGGCTGTTTTTTTATCAGCAAAGGCAAAAAGAATTCGCATTAGCCATGATGAAAGCCCAGAGGATAGAGCAGTAATGATGAAAGCCCAGAGGATAGAGCAGTAATGATAGCAGCAATGAGTTTTAGTGTTGTAGGATTTCTTCGGTGAGCTGGTGAGCAGAAATAACGGGAAATATTTTGGTTTTCAAACTTATTCCCTTGGAGAGACAAAATGATCTGACTTGTGTCTGTTTTCCTACAGTGGGACAGCCTTCTAACATTCAACTCCGCCAACAGCCAATCCCAGACTCTGTGCATTGACCCCATGGCTTCTCGCTTTCTTCTTGTTATCACTGTTTTGATCTTGAGTCACCAACCTCACCTTGCTCACGGAGAGCCTTCGCTTGAGTGCTTTGATGGTCCTTTCGAGAGCGTGTTGCTGGATGGATGCGTCGATGATTGTAGAAGTTTTGAGACTCTAGAGGAGGCGGAGCAGCACTGCAATGCTCTGGCAGATTGCGGTGGCATTACCAAGACAGCGTACGGCGACAGCGAAGCGATCTCTCTAGGGGTGGGTCTGTATGAAGTTCGTTCAGGGCCTGGCATCCAGCAGCAGGTGGGCGACACCACCTGGATCAAGCAAGATGGATGCGGTAACCAAGGTGGGAGAGGCTCCTACGGCAACGGAGAGTACGCGGGAGACTCGCAGAGGATCTCGGGGTATGACAGGGCAGAGAGATGGAACGAGTCGCTGGAAGCCGTGTCGGACGGATACAGCCGAGCAGTCAGTCAGATGTTCTGGATGGCTCTCTTCCTGTGCTTTTGTGCAGCGCTCGTCTTCGTCTCTTACCGGAGAGGCGATCAGTTCACTGTCGACTTCGTTGACAATGCCCGGGAGAGGATCAAGACGTTTGTTCAGAAGCGAGGCCCGCGCATCAACAGCGGCGACGGTTCATACCAGAGCATCTGATGATCTCATGTTCACATCTTTCAGTTAAAGGCTCTAGTTTTCTGAACAGCAGCTCATCCTTAATGCATCTTTCGCTGACTTGATGGCGCGACTTCTACCTCACGGATTTTTCGGGGCCTTTTTAACATTTGAAATGAGTCTAAAGTGTTGGGGCTATGCGTCTCTGTCACTGTGATCAGTAAAATTGCATTTTGACGACTGGCTGTGTGTCGTTCTTTCATTCACAATACCTTCTATTCAATCATCCTCTCTTCACATCACTTTCCGTCGATCATAGAGCACAAGTTTGTGGAGTTCCCATTCATCGACAGATGTCAACCTCACATATCTCTGTACAGTCTGTAAACGTGTCTATCGGGTCTTGCCCACAACTCCTGCCCCTGTTTTCCGTCTCTTCTCCTGATGACCAACGATTGTCTGTTGAAGCTTGTGCACCTCACCTGCCACATCCGACGGCTCTTGAGTTCCCGGTGAGACATGCGAGGCAGGAAAAATGTTCACTTCCTCCATCTCGCATTCTGAATCTGATAGATTCTGTTCGAAAGCCTCGTGATGCAAACCCACTTGCTGACACCTGGTCAAGGTTTCTTGACAGAGATCCTTTAGCTTCTGTATGTCCTGATACGCATGCAGCTGATCATCGGATAACGTTCTCCTTGTGACTGCTTCATTTATTCGCTGCTCCCACTCAGACAATTGATTCAGATGTTTGCCGATGGATCTGAGCTCATTCTGGAATCGAGTTCGATCAGTGTCCGTCATTCTCTTCTTCATTACTTCCGAGCTTCCACCAACAGAAACGTTGATGGAATAGTTTGCTGCTGGCAGCCCGAAATCTCTCGCAAACTGCTCGACGTTCTCCTCCTCAGAATGCTCATTGTCACTATCGTCATCAACGAGATCGTCGAAGCTCATCGGTTGTTCAGGGTTGCAAGCCTTTTCCTCGCTCTCACGTTCTGCTTGCTGCTCTGCGGCGTTCTCCTCTAGCATCGAGAATACTGGAAAGTCCAGAGAGTCTTCGAGGCGCCTTCGAAACGAGAGGACGTAAGTGCGCATTGACCCAGTGTGCTTAGAGCTGATTTGCAGTGTCTTCCTTGCAGCTTTTGAGAGCTCTCTTCTTTGAACTTCATCCAATCGAGATATCACCTGCTCATTGATGTGATTGTTTCTAGATGGCTCAGAACCTGTCGATCTTGTCACATAACTCAAGCCCAGGTTCAGACTCTTATATTTGGCGCCATGCTCAGTAGCCCAGGACTTGAGCATAGATCTAAATTCATCCCGTAACAGCTTAGCGTATCGAACTGGAGGGGGGAGAGGCTTATCTGACTTCAGCCCGGTTCCCAGCAATAAAATTTCATCTAGATTCTCTACTACACAGTTTCGAAAAGACGCTGACCTGCAGAACACAAAGTCTGTCAACTTGAAGGCGTAGTAACGCTCCTGCAACACAAAGATCGATCAGAGGGTGACAAGAGAAGGCAATCTATTTGAAAGTTCTATCTCAACTACACAGACAAGACCAGGGAGGTACCTTCACCCTCGTCCTCTCACCTTGCAGTTGGAGCACCGAAGGTGGCGAAGGAGGACCCCGAACGCCAAGGGGCCAGCAGTGGAAGGGCCATCCTTGACGAACCTCTTGAGGGTGGAGCAGGCAGCCTTGAACTCTCGCTCGGAAGCTTCTCTGCTCTCCTCCTCTCCTCCTCTCACTCGTCGCATGTGCCCCCCTACAGTTTTCCTCAGCTCATCCTCCATGCTCAGTCGCTGATTAATAATCATCGCCCTCATATTTCACTCATCGCCCTCGTTCCCTCATCTCATTCCCGAGGCGGCCCGCAGGGCGGCCCGGCGCTCTAAATCGGCTGCACCGTCGCCATGTTTGCGGTATGAATGTCGAAAGAGACAAGGGAGGAGGAGGGAAGAGGAGGAGGAGGAGGAGGAGGAGGAGGAGGAGGAGGAGGAGGAGGAGGAGGAGGAGGAGGAGGAGGAGGAGGAGGAGGAGGGAAGAACACTGGCACAGGCTGAAAGAAGAGCGAAGAGAGACGGGCGCGGGGAGAACTTGGGGAAGGCAGAACGCGGCAGAAGGGAGAAGAAAAAAGAGAAGGGAAAGGAGACGGGAGGAGCTGATCGAGACTCGCAGCTCCTCCGAATGACTCAGCTCAAGAATGTCAACGTTTACATCAGGATCGACCCTACAGGAGCAGGTCCCATGAGCAGGTGCGGCGGCCACCTTCACTCTCCGCGATCTCTTGCGCTGACGAAGTTGTGTTGATGTAGCCTCGAAGAAGCGGAGGAGGAGGCGTACAGGAACGATTGCGGCATGTCATGGGACGCCGCGCCGAAGTGAAGGCGATGAAGTAGAATAAGGATGAACATGATGTGAGGAGGCAGTGAATTGTGGTATTAGCTTATATCCTCAGCCTCCTTTACTTGCGAAGCAGTTTCACTTGCAGCGTTGACCCGTACGTGCCAATGTCCTCTGGACATCTGTTGTGCAGCATGTTGCAAACATGATCAGCCTGGAGGAGCAGCAGGGTCAGGATGGGAAGGACTGGCAACAAGTCACCGATGCTCTGCTCGTGAAGCTGACTGTCGCTCGACCGTAAGAGTCACCTGCGTCATGACAAGCTTATCAGCTCTCGTTGCTGTAGGGGCGAGCTGACCTGTCTCCTCGTCGAAGTGCACCTCAACTTTCTTGATGCTGCCCCTGCTCTCCCCGAGCAAAGACTGCAGGAATCTCTCCAGCTTCTCGTCGTCGACGTCGGGATTCAACCCCACTATCCTCACACTGAACACCTGCGAGCGCGATCAGAGGCAACAAGAGCGAGCTACTGTCTCGTCTACATCTTCCTCCACGTATCGAGACAGGATTTCCTCAGCAACCATGCGAGCATCGACAATAGGCGCGTTCAGCTCCGGAATGACGACCGGAAGCTTGGGGACGTCTTGGTTTGGCTAAAAGGCTGCATGAGAGAGAAAGAGAGAGAGGGAGGGAGGGAGGGAGCAAGCAGTGGTATGAGCTCACATCATGGAGAATGCGAGGACGCTTGCTGCTCGGCTCAAAGTCCCACTTGTTCTCTGCCGTTGGGACCTCCACCACCCGCGCGAGGCTGCTCCCGGCCTCTCTCTCAACCTCAAGGTTCCTCGGCCTGCGAGAGCCCGAGGCTGGCTGAGTCACGGGCTTGGAGGCTTCAGCTTGCGCGAGGACCGCGAGCTTCTTCTCGATCTCCGCCTCCACATCTTCTGATCCCACGACATCTGCTGTCATGATGGAACTCGCGTCGACAGCTCCTTCCCCCTTGACGTGATCAGCGTCAGAAAAGCTTTGCGACTCCTCTGATCGGTTGTGCTTGAAGTACTCCAGCGACTTGAGCTCAACCTCAGGCATGGGAAAGTTGCGGCCCGTGAGTCCCAGCAGCTTCCTCCGCTGCATCGCCAGCGTCCCCGTCACGTCCTGCAAGGGGTTGACCGAGACTGGCAGGCAGGAGTCAGCAGTGCGAGGGCAAGTAAGACAGGAAGCTTACTCTGCTTCGACCTCTCGGTGTACGATTCGATCCATTCCTTGTCCTGCTCCTCCAGACCCTGCCGGGCCGTCAGTCTCCTCCTCCCTCTGCCTCCTCGTCTTCCTTGAGCGCCCCTGACTGGGCCAACCTCGACACGTTGAAGAAAGTCCCGCCCTGCCAGCCGGTTGGAACGAGAGACGCGAGGGGTCAGGGCACCTGAATGCCGATGGTGGTGAACCAGTCGGACCGGGAGAGCGTCCTCTTGTCGAGGCTTGAGAAGTAGGTGTCGTCTCGGAGCGACTGGATGGCCTGTGGTGATGCGACGAGGGTAAGGAGAGGAGGGGGAGGAGGGGGAGAGGCACCAGCCGGATAGCTTGCATGTCGAAGGATTTCTGCTTCTCAATCTCCACGCGTTGCGCCAGGTCTCTCTCGACCTCCTCGGGGTCCATCCCTTCCTCGGCCTTGAGCCGCAGCTTGTAGTGCTGCATCTGCCCGTCAGCCCGAGACTGGAGCAGCAGGCGCCTCGCCTGTATCAGAGCGGTCGCTCCTGCCTCGTAGTCTTCCGTCCTCTTGATGATCCACTTGCTCGACTGAGCGTCGGTCACCAACTCCGCCCGGTACTCGTCGGCTCTCTGCAGGAAGGCGTTGGAGAGCAGCCCGTAGTAAACCTGGTTGTTGGGCTCCATCATGACCTGACCTTCAGTCAGCCCCGTCATGCGCCCCGTCTCTTCTCACGGCTTGTCGCAGCTCCTCCACAGCAACACTCCCGTTCTTCTCGCACCGCAGCATGTAGACGGCGTGAACGTACTTAACGTACGCGCTCGCCGGGTCGAGCCGGACCGCCTGGTATCATAGTCACTGAGCCATCACCGCAGGGAGTGCGCGCACGTGGCGAACGATGGGAGTGATGTGACTGAAGGGGTTCTCTTCGGCGAAGGAGTACTCGGCGCGACTGAGCCACTGAGAGAGTTTGATGGCTGCGATGTTGGCGAACGAGTGACCTGCTGCCAGTCAGCCGGCCTGACACCTGCAGACTCCTTGCACCGTCTTGAGGATCGATAGCAACGACTCTACGGAAGAGCATCTCAGCCTTGTTCAAGTCCTGATGCCCTGAGGTGAGACGAGAGCGAGAGACGGTCGGTCACCTTGCTGGAGTGAAAGATAGAGTTGCCGAGGCCCTTGCGCCAGCATCAAACCGTTGAAACCTCCTTCCTCTCTCCCTCCCTCTTCTTTCCTTTCATTTCTCTCTTCACCTCCTTCCTCTCTCCCTCCCTCTCCTTTCATCTTCCTCTTCACCTTCTCACCTTCAAAGCGTCTGAATTCCTCGGCTCCAACTTCGATGCTTTCAAGAAGATGCGGAAGACGACTTCGGAGATGCTCGAGGGACGGAAGTCTTCCATGTCCAAGAGAGGTTCGATGCCTCGTATAGACTCGCGCACAACTTCAGACTCGTCGTCCTCTTCATCTTCTTTTCTCTTTTCCCTATTCCTGTGACCTGTCACGCGCTTCAAGGCCGCAACGGCATCGTCCTCACCAGCTCCGCACACTTGGCTGATCCAAAGACGATAACATGCTTCCATACCTGCACAGGTAGTGGACAAGACTGGACCTGTTTAGCAATCTCCCCCACTCCGTCGTCTCATACATTTCCTTCGAGCAGCGGGTCAGGAAGAAGCAGCAGCGGCAGGCAGCGAACCGCAATGGCCTTGCGATAGAGTTTTCCTCCGTGAAGATGAGACTTCTCATTCATCTCCTCGACGTCTGTGCAGAAGCTAGCATACTCTGCCTGCAGCAACGCATGTCAGGGTCTGCCGCGTCTCCCTCAACGTCCAACTTTGATCTCAGGATGGAGTCCCGGGTCAACCTCTATCGCTCGCTTGTACTGCAGGCTTTCATCAGGGCAGACAGCCTCACCAACGGCAGCGCACGAGAGCAGAGGCGGCGAAGTTCTTGTGCCTCCTCTTCATCAGCTCAGCAAGAGCGGTAAGGAGCAGCGGGCTCGAGGGCTCGAGAACGTACGCGTCCCTCAGGACCTTCTCCGCCGCATCTTCACGTTCCTCGTCGAGCTGCGGTTCTCAAGGGTCAACGCGGCTTCGTCTACATCCTCCACCCACATAGACGCTGGCCAGCAAGGCTGAGCTCAAGCTCTGATTAGGTCTCAACTCGATGGCCCTCAGGAGCAGTCGTTTCCCCTGCTCAGTATCCGCTTCCTGCCCCATTTGCAGCGACTGCGTGGTGCCGAGGAGTCAGCGACTCCGACGTCCTCCGATCCTCTCACCAGCATCGCAGCGTCATGGCAGACTTTGGGGTCCTCCTGCCAAGAAGTCGTTCAGGCCGTTGGTTGCCACAGAATCAGAGCTCCGACAGGAAACTTCCTAGCGACGTCCTCGACGCTTGCACGAGCTTCCTCCATGTCTCCGGCGCACAACCTGAGGTAGACGATGCCACACCTTGAATCTTTCTCAGCAGCTCCTCCCACAGAGAGCAGACAAGTGACCATGGCTTCGTGAAGCTTGGTTCCAACTCGCACGACCGTTTTAGATGGTACTCTGCTTCCACAAAGTTCTGACTGCATTGCAGGTGCAAAATGCCCAGAGAGTGATGTATGCTGAAACATTCATCAAAACCACATGGTCGTGCAACTAAAATGGGTACCGCGCGCTACTTGGAAACATCTTTACAGCTTTGCACAACAAATCAAAAGCCTGTTGGACGTATCTTCGTTTGGATGACAACAGCCATGCGTTCTCTACTATCATTCTGTGCACCAAAATCACTCCCGACACACGGATATCAGAACGCCTACGTCTCGTTGGCGTCCAAGCTTCCCTGCAGGAGCTGCTGGCAGAAGGTCACAGCCGACTGTTCGACCTCATCGCCGCCTCCTCGCAATCGCCGGGCAGGGCCTGTTGGAATGGAACTTGTCCTAAGATCCGCCCAACGAGCAGGAGGAGGGAGCAGCGAGGCACTGTCTCTTTCACCTTGTGTGGATTCATCTGTTCCATGGAAGAGGAGGAGAGCCGTGACAACGACAACCACCGCATCGCTCGCTCGCATGCTCTCTGTTCCCGTTGCTACTCTTCATGCAGGGTCATGCGATACGCTCGTCGTGTCAAGAAGCATCAGCTCTCAACCTCTTGCCTTCTTCGCATTCATAGGCAGCAGCTTCTTCCCTCCTCCTCCTCCTCCTCCTCCTCCTCCTCCTCCTCCTCCTCCTCTCTCCCCCTCCCCCCCCTCCTCAGCCTCCCGTCCCGTCCATCGGGGAGTCGCAGTATCAGTCGAGTAGATCAAAAATCTAGATAAATCACAAATCTAGATCAAGATCTAGAACACACGAAGCCCTGCCAACTAGCTAGAGATCGCCATGGCAGTCGAAGCCATGGCGATGGCGATGGCGGGGATGATGGCGGGGAAGATGATGATGACGGTGAGAGATCCGAAGAGAAATTGCTGTTGATGTCCAGACCAACAGCTTCTGCTCGCTCGTGATGATCATCCCCCTCACGCTCCTGCCGAGTGTTGGGAAGTTTTGCGTTGCTGACCGGGATTCACAGAGGCAGAACGTTGAGCCATACATGGATGAGGTCTTTCACATTCCTCAGACACAAGCTTACTGCAGGTCTACGAGTCTCCTATGCTACACGTGCTGACGCTGGTTGCAGGGGAGAGTTTTCTTCCTGGGATCCCAAGATCTCGACGTAGCAGGCAAATGGTGAGTGGGCCGAGTGTCTAAGACGCGAGCTGGCAGGCTGCCCGGGCTATACTGGATGTCCCTCGCGCTCTTGCCTGCCTCCAACGCCTTCACGTCTCTGCTTCGATCTCTGCGATGGTTGGAATTGGAACCGAGCAAGGCCACGTCGTCCGGGCTTCTGCCAGGCCTCGGCTGCGATGTGGAGGAGCTAAGGACTTTCAACTTGTTTGTCGGCGTCCTGACCGCAGGAGTTGTGTGCATGCTCGTGAAGCGAGTGAACGGCTCGCACGATCTTTCAAGGGGCAGCACGCTGCTGAGGTGGTCAGAGCATCGCGATGATTCGCAATGATGGTGGTCTGCGGCAGGGTTGCAGTTGTGATATTCTTTCCCGTCCAGTTCTCGTCCTACTTCCTGTAACCTGCTCTCCTCCTCTCTCTGCTCTCTAATATCTCTCATAGCTTCTACACGGATGCCATAGCAACTCTCATGACTCTCGTGACCTACGAGCGTCTTCTTGCTCGCAGAACGCTGCAGGCCGCCATGTCCGGTCTGTCGCTTTCACACATGTTTCGACGTGTTGAAGCGTGTCTAGGAGCGCTGGCAATCTTCTGTCGTCAGACGTGTGTGATCTGGACTGGGTGAGTAGACGTTGGGAGGTGAGCGATGGGTCTGAGCGAGCTGCAGGTTTGGGCTGGGGGTGCTGGTGTTGCAGGAGTTTGGCAGTACTCAGGAGGTCAAGCTCTGCTCCGCGTGATGCTGACAGCTGAAAGAGATTCACGCAGGACAACAAGAACTTGTTGGAGGAAGTGATCAGCATCATCAGGCTCCTCTGCGTGTGGAAGAACCTAAGGAGGGTGTTGGGTGCGAACTCATCGAGACTGTCGGGCTGGTTGAAACTCTTTTACAGCACATTCGCTTCCCCTGCTGCTGGTCTTGCTGGGATTTCTTGTTTTCGTGTACAAGAACGGAGGATTCGCTGTGGGAGACAAGTGGCTCGCCTCCTCTCCTCGTCTTGACCCTCACTTAGCATTCGGCAGGAGCAATCATGAAGTTGGACTTCACCCTATGCAAGCGTGTAAGCGGCTCCGATCCCTCGTCGACTTTGACAGATTTCAACTCGCTAGTTTACTTGAGTTCCTTTGCTTGGCTGGTGTCTTCTCCCTTCCACATCTTCTCGCCTTCGTTACGGAACTTCATCTCAGCAATCAGGCAACCAAACCTGTTCCTTGTCGCCATTGAAACCTTTCCACAGAACCAATTTTTTCCTTACATGTTCCAGTCTTGCCGCTATTGTTTACTTGATACACAATTTCACATACGCACATCCCTTCCTTCTCTCTGGTATTCTTGCCAGCTGCACCTTTGGATCTCTAACGAGTTCCAAGACAACAGGCACTACGTCTTTTACATCTGGAAGAATGTCTTCAGAAGCCGGACTTGGCCTCGGTAAGTTGAAGAGAAGGGCGATAACGACACTGAGGGTCTTGTAGGTATGCTCTCGCTCCCTTCTACATGTACTCTGTCAGTGCCGACGAGTTCTCCCCGACTGTGACAAGTGAAGGGATCGAGCAGGTGTACTCGACTTACAGTCTCCTTCGCTGCCGTCGGAGTTCAGTCTGGGTCACGTGGTCCGACTAGCCTCTTGCCTGCGAGCTGCTCCAACTCGCTGCTCTCTCCAGGTTTCTCTTCTGCTCCGTCCTGACGGTGATCCCCACCGGCTTGTTGGAGCCCCGATACTTCATCATCCCCGTCACTTTCCTGCTCATTCATCTGCCGCCTGACGATCAAGGAGGTACAGGCCTCTATCTTTCCCTTCCTCCCACCATCTTCTCCTCTGCCCTCCTGACACAAATGTGCAGCAGGAGGCCGCAGAGCGCAGAAGGGAGAGGTAACGAGAGGCTGATACATTGCCGTCTCAAATATCCCTTGCAGCAGACGCGCCGAGACATGCCGGCATGGCTCACTCTGGCAGCGTACACGTTGGTGAACGCTGTTTACCTCTACGTCTTCTTGTTCCGAACCTTCAGGTCAGACTTTGTCCTGTCCCTCAAGGTTGCAAGCAAGCATGTCCTACAGGTGGCCGGATGGTTCTGTAGCTCGTTTCATGTGGTAGACGCGGCCGATCGACCGGTCCACCCTCATGGAGCCTCGGGCCTCCGGCGACGCGCGGAGATGGCATGGCGCTATGAGGGGCTGAGCAGCCTGCGGAAGAATCTGATTGTAAAGTACATCTCCAAACATGCAGACGCCAGCCGGCCGAGCAGAAGCCAAACGCCCACAAGAAGCCACAAGGATGGGGGGAAGGAACTCGCGATGGATCTGCGGGAAAACCATCACCAACCCTCTGAGGCCAACGGCGAACAGCTCACGGGAATTGCGAATCGATGAAGATGTAGGTGGGGAGGAGGAAGAGGCCGAGGATGCCGCTTGTTCCCAGAGGGTTCTTGAAGTTGTTCTTGAAGTAGGCTCGTACCATCCAAGGCTCCTCGGACGTCTGCTGCTTCCAATGGCTGGCAAGCATGTCAAGGGAGGAGGTGGGGGTGGGCAAGCATGTCAAGGGAAGAGGTGGGGGTGGGCAAGCATGTCACGGGAGGTGGAGGGGGTGGGCAATCATGTCAAGGGAGGAGGAGGGGGTAGAGGTACCGGCCTCCCTCCAGGTGGCTCGTCATCTGAGTAGCGAAGAGCGTGACCCACTCGAGGGAGATGAAGAAGACAGCGAAGGCATGCACAGACGCGCTCCTCCCCGACGCCTTCGCCCACACTGCGCTCCTCCCCAGGTTGTCTGCAAGAATGTCGAGGATCGCCCCGAGCTTGCTCGTCTGTCCCAGGCGCCGAGCCAGCATGCCATCGACGAGGTCAAGGATGAAGGAGAGGAGGAGGACAGCGAGGGAGGAGAATGAAGGAGGAGAGACAGCAAACACAATCACCATCACGATCCTCCCTGCCGTCACCCCGTTCGCCACAGTCCATAGCATTGCGTCTCCTCGCCCTGCCATTTTCCCCCAATGTAACGCATGTAACGTCCGAAATGCTGCGAAAGCAAGGCAGCCCCACAGCTTATCCTTCTCGCCTCCTCCTCCTCCTTACCGCCTCCCCTCCTGCTTCATGCTCATCTCCTCTCCTCCACTCGCTCTTGCTCCTCCACTTCCTCCTTCTCCCTCGCTGCCATGGCCCGTGCCGTGCCCTTCCCTCCCTTTGTGCCGCATCTATCGCTACCAGCTCTCTAGCGTTGAGCAGGACAGCAGCATTACGAAAGAATGCAGATCGATTTCTCATGAAAACATGAAGATCATGGAAGTGTGAAGGAGGGAAGCGAGAGGACTGGAGGAAGGAGCAGTAGAGGAGAGGAAAGAAGAGCAGGAGTGAGGGACAGGCGCTGATCTCGTGTTGCAGATGATTCGAATTGGGTTCGTAGGTACAGGAACGATCACCGAATGCGTTGTCACAGGCCTGTGCTTGAAGGATGCGGAGGATCTCTCCATTACCGTAAGCTTCTCCTGCTCCTGCTTCTGCTCCTGTCATCACTATTTCTCTACGCTTGTAACTTTCCTTCAGGTTTCTCCGCGCAACAAGGAGAAGGCCGAGGCTCTTGCTCGTCGCTTCCCTGCTCAAGTTCGTGTTGCCGCGGAAAACCAGCAAGTGCTCGATCACTCCGACATCGTCTGCATTGCCGTCACGCCCCAGCTCGCGCCTGACGTCCTTAGCGCCCTCAACTTTCGTCCGGACCATGTTGTCGTCTCCTTCATGTCCACCGTGAGGATCGAGAGGCTCAAGGAGCTTGTGCGGGGATCCGACAGACTCTTCCGAGCTGTTCCCATGCCGCCCTTCGCCAAGCGGGTGGGAGGGATCCCCCTGCACCCCCCGCACGATGTCGTATCCTCGCTCTTCGGGCGGGCGGTCAAAGTGATCCAGGTGGAGACCGAGGATGAGCTCATGACGCTCATGAGCGTGTCTGGCACCATGGCTCCCTTCTACCAGCTCCTGGCCACCACCAGCCAGTGGATAGTGAAGCAGGGAGTCAGCCCCCGTGCGTCGAGTCAGTTCGTGGGAGCCTTGTTCAACTCCTACGCGGAGGACAGCAAAGACCTCGAGCAAGGCTTCGAGGGCATCACGGCAGAGAGTCAGACCCCCGGGGGCATCAACGAGCAGGCGCTTCGGGACCTGAAGGCGGCAGGATGGTACGAGAAGTTCGAGGAGGAGTTGGATGTGATCGCGAAGCGAGTGAGGGGGAAGTGAGGGGGAGAAGCGTCACAAGTTCTCGTTCTATTCGGTTAGAGAAAAAGAAAAGTATGCAACTGAAAGAGAAGAAGAAAAGCTGTCGAGCTCGAGAGAGAGCAGGAGCACAGTTGACTCCTACAACCCAAGATTCTTCTCGTGGAACCCCCCGAGAGCTGCGTTGGCGAATGCTTCCTCCAGCCCTGCATCCCGTATCACTTCTTGACCTCTTTCCCATCTCCTCTCCTCTCCAGAACAAATCTCCCTATACCACGCTTCTCCCTTACCTGCTCGCAAATCTTCGCTGCTGTCATACTCCGGTAGATACATCGTCTTGGCACATGTCTGCACCCTAGTCAATCCTTGATGCTCCTCCTCCTCCTCCTCCTCCTCTTCCTCGTACCTGAGCCCAGACTGTCCGTGACCCTGTTCGGAGAGCGAGCTTGATGCCAGCTTGAGGGAGGCCGCCAGGAGGCAGTCGCGGGTTCGCCGTCACGAGGTCCAGGAACTTGGAGCGACTGGAGTTGTCCATAGAGATCAGCTCGTCTACCAGCATTTTGAACACCTGCAACACCATCGTCAGCCCTCCCAGCTCCCCGTCACACCTGCTCCTCTACTTTGCTCTCGCGCGTCAGGCGGCCTATGGGCTGAAGATTCTCCTCCAGCGCTCGACGCTCGTCCTCGGCTCGCACGTTCCCTCCGAGCAGCCAGTCCTCGCTGATGTAGGCCGTCCATACCACCAGCTGGTGTCCGCAGAGCATCCGCTGAAGCTCAATGGGAGAAAACTGCAAGAGAGAGCGAGAGGAGAAGACTTCCTCTACTCCCTCTCGGAACCTGCCACGTCAGCACAAGTCAGCGAAAAGCGTCAAGATAAGCACACGGCATTACGCGCTCAGCTGCTCCTTCACGCCGACGTTGAGCCAGAGGTCCACAATGGCTTCCACCCACTTCCTCACGCTCACTTCGTCCGCCTCCAGCCGAATGTTGGAGCCGTTGGGGCAGAGCTCGACCGCCTCTTGGGTCTGCGGGTCCTTAACAAATCCGGCAGGGTCGACGAACGCCGGCCATTCGCCGTCGATGGCTCGCAGGTACTCGTCGACGGAGAGGGCAGGGCCGACGTACTCCGGGAGCAGCAGCGTGCAGGGGGAGTGGACGAGGCTGGCGATTCTCTGGCTCTTGTCTTGCGGCGGCAGGTTGCTCTTACCGATGATCTCGAGCCTGTTTAGCAGCCTCGTCATGCTCTTCGCTATGCCGCCAGTGGCAGAGGGGCTCGGCAGGTCCTTGCTGCCCAGCTTCTGACCACGAAAAGCAGCGAAGAATGCTGGAGAAAGAGGAAGAGGAACCAGAAAGCCGTCGCGAAACGCCTTGGCCATCAGGCGGCCCAAGAACTTCATTCTCGCGCAGATCTTCGGCTTTTCGGGATCTTGAGGATGCAGAGGTCGAGGAAACAAGCCCTCAGACCCGACCTGCAGGTAAGGCCCGCCCGTCGCGTTCTCAAGGCTGGAAACCCTCCAGATCTCTACGTTGTCGTCAGCTCGTTGCATCTCCATTGCCACTGCCGTGTAGAACCCTTGCGTCACTCCCCAGCCGAAGCCGTGCTCATCCGCAAACTGAACTTCAAGTTTCCTCGTCACTCCAGCATGGTCGGCCATCAGCTCCTGAGCTTGCCCAAGGATACAATCTCCTCTCCTCACCCTGGCGATGTCGCTCTTCAGCTTTCCTATCCTTTGTCGCTCTATCGCTTCTTGCGCGTGCATCAGCCTATCGTAAACCCGTTGAGCTCTCTCTCCCGACATCTCCGTCACATGCCCAATCGCATGCTCGGCTTCTCGCAGTCTCTTTCGCAAACCAGGATCAATTCGCTGCTCCTGCAACTCATAGCTGCAATGCCACGCAAAAGTCAAATCATGTCTCGCACAGTTCAATCTCACTCACATTGTCTGCGAAGTTCCAAACGCCGTGCACTTGAGCAGATGCTCGCGAGTCTGGAACGAGAAAAGGAAGGGACAGATCTGAGGGAGGAGCGAACACCAGCTCGGGATTCCGCCGCATGTGACAGGCAGAAGGTCCTCCAGAACAGCCGACAACTTGTAGGTGAGCTGCTTGTTGATGAAAACTTCCGACCAGACAAGCGGAACGAAGCCCTCACCGAAGCTCGAGTACCAGACAATGCTTAGCAGCTCAATCGCTTTCAAGCAGGGCTGGTCAAACTGAAGCTTCCAGAGTTTACGTTCGAGACTCTGCCAGAAGCTTTTGTCATCTGCGTTCGAGCCACGGGAATCAAGAACAGCAGCTGGCCGCTCCTTTGTTGGGCTGCAGTAAACTTTCCGTGGTTCGGTTGAGCTAAATCTCACGTCCAAATCAAAGACAAGTCTGTATGGGAGTTGGTCGAAAACCTCCTGATACTGTGCAGAGAGCAACTCAGATTTTTCATCAGACATGCATAAAGAGGACTTGAAAGATTGCAAAACCCTCTGCATGCCAACATAAGTCGGAGTGCCGCAATCCAACCTGGTCAGACTCTCCTGGGCAAGCGAGAAGTTCTTCTTCTCCTCTCCGCTATCTTCGGCATTGAGCAGCGTGACAGTCCATCCTATTCTTCTGAACGATACAGCGAGATAAACTGGCCGCTTGGGGCAGGACCAACGGATGGTTGCGAGTCCCTCTCCTTCTATTCCAGCCGAAAACTCTTCCTTGCCGAAATCCACCTGCAAGATGACGACGTCCCCCTCCACGGCTTTGCGAGAAATGTTCGCGCCAGCGAGTCGACCATTCACATTCAACTTTCCGTCATTGAGCTCAAGGCAGCAAGAATCGTTCGAGTTGAGGGCAGAGCCATGATACTCATCGCCGGCGATGAAACCCATGTGGTTGCACAAGTCATCTCCAGCGGCCTCGTCGATTCGCACGCGGAAACGATGAATGCCCGAGCTCAGCCCTGTGGACGTGCGGAGTGTGTCAACGAAAGAGTCTTTGCTGTCCTTCCGTGCTGTTGTCCCGTTGTTTGAGATGGCGTACAAGGTGCGTCGTTGAGAAGACAACGTGATCGGATGCCAGTGAGTGATGGTGTCGAAGATTCCGAGTTCTCGCGGGTTGACGGAGAACGAGATCTCGATCGTTGGTGGGTCTTGCGCATCAGAGAGCAGAGGGTCCCAGGGACACTGCTTGATTGAGCAGGAATGTTTCAGTGCACCGTCTTGCTTCTCTGTGAAGTCATATCGGTTAGGAATCGCGTCGTCGCCTTTGCGAATGAACGATTCGAATTTCCTCGTCAGGGCCGACGGCTCTGGTCCCTCATCCTCTTCGAAATTCCCGGTAAGATTCGAAAGCCTCTGAATTGCAAATGTGAGATTTCGACCTGCAGCAAAGATTCCTGATTGGAAAGGGTTCTCAACCTTGGGGCGAATGAGATCCTTGATCTCGTTCCTGGGAACATTGTGAACTACAACCCCATCATCGTAAACCAGCGAGTATCGTTCCGATGAACTTTCACAGCCAATAATAGTCCCAATCGTACCTTCGCTTCTACTGTTCGCACTATGAATTCTTCTTCCGATGTTGAGAGTTGCGCTTTTCTCGATCCTTGGCATGTAGTTCTTGCCCTCTTCCTCCTTTAAGAAGGCTTCACATATCCCGTTCAGCCGAGCAAGCAGCGTGTCAGCCTCTCGCCGTGTCTGCCCGCGTGCAACTGGAGCTTGGAAAGGTTCCTCGCGCAAGCCATTGGTGAATAGCTCCTGGAACTCAGGCTGACCTTCTGGAAATCCTCTAGAGGGGAAGTCATACTCTTCACCCACTTGCTTGCCGAAGGGCGCTTGTCCAGGATCTGCCTGCCGCAGAGCCTTCAAAATTGCCCCCATAACGCTATCAACAAAGATTTCGAGCGGGATGGCTTCGTGCGGGTAAGTTATCATAATGCTGCATATCCGCTCGTCTCCATCCGCTCGATCTGTCGACGTCATCTTGGCATCCCACAGTTCTCTGCCTCTCCGCATGGTTTCATCGTCAGCTCTCTCAGTGGTCACCTTGTAGTCGCGCACAGCGAGGATCATCTCGCATACTTCTTCAACATCTGGATTTGCCCCAATGTACCTCACTCGATGAACTCCGATTTCACTAGGAACAAGCTTCCGATAGTTCTCGACAATTGCACGACGGTAAGGAATCTCGGGCTCGACGCATTTCATGGGACGGTCCAGGATGATTGAACCCACGAGCTGTTGACAGTATGCTTCATACCTGTTAAGGGAAAGTCAATCAGGACATCTCAACCTATGGTCATATAGCTCACTTGGCATCCACGACGGGAAAAGTTCGAAGAACGTGGAGCTGCAATTCTGAGATCGGAGTCAGCGGCTCCACGAGGACATTGATGACCCGCTTCGCCTGTAGAGCCCCTGAGCATGACTTCTGTTCACTCTGCAACCCTCCGGCAGGTTGATCAGGAGTCGCAGCCTCACTCAAGTTGTGCAGAGGTCCAAAGAAAATGCGATGAGGGATGAAGAGTTGCTTCAATCCCTGTTTGCCCACAAATTTGGACTTATTGGGAACGGGAAGCGCCTCTGAGGTCGAGATGATGTTCTGAAGCAATCGAACGAAGATGAAGAAAGCGTTGTTTGCACGTGAGCAAAGGTTCCTTGCCAGCTTCTCCTCTTCTGTTACGACCTCCGAGTCCAAGTCTCCCATTTCGAGCATGTCGAAGCCGAACACCTCCCAGAATGCCCTGATTCTTAGCGCATCCGAATCATCCAATGGTAGAAGAAATTGTACCATTGCATTCAGCAAGCCGCTCTTTTCCAATTCCTTACTTGTAACTCTTTCTGGGGACAACAACAGATCCACGAACTTTCTGAGACCATCAACATTCCCAGAACTGATTTGCAAGGCCAGTTCTGACATTTTAGCCATGTATGGACTTGTGCACAACACGCTCATGCTCAGTTCAATGTCGTTCAGGAGACTTCTGGCATATATCACGATACCATGTTCAGAGCTGCGATATTGCAAGTATCTGGGCTCTGGATCTTCAACTGAGTTGAAATCTAACGATCTCTTCGCGTTGGCCAAATCAGAAAGAATCTGTAAAATGTTCCAGCGACCAAGATAGCTGACGTTGTTCTTATCGTGGTGAACGATTGCTTGGAGCAATCTAAGACCAGCCTTCACATTTCTTGGAATAGAGCTTGCAAGCAAGTCCTGACAGATCAAGAAACAAGGCACTACTACATTCACAGAAGCTAGTTCACCCGAATCAGTCATGACGAGGTATTCGATGCAGTTAATGACACTGGCAATTACACCAAAGTGATATGCATCGTTAAATGCGTAAAATTGAGAGCATTGCGTATTCAACAATTTCGGCAACAGCTCACTTATGTACAGTGATTGCAACTCGGAATATTTCCTCTTGAACTCTGACGAATCGAGGAAAGATCTTTGCCTCTCATCATATTCGTCAAGAAATTTCAACATTTCTTCCTTGCAATTCGCCCTCTCAATAAGCTGCAAATTTGCACCTTTGGCAAGCAGCTTCTTCACAATATCCACCCTACCGAGTTCTGCTGCAGCTGACAAAGCTGAACGACCAGCAAGATTGGTTGCATTCACTCGTGCTCCAAATTCAAGGAGAATGCAAATGAGATCCATGCTACCATCTTGCTCGACGCAGATGATTAGAGGAGTATTCCCGTTGGAGTCAGTCGCGTTCACGTCTGCACCATCACTGAGGAAACTCTGGATCACATTAATATCTCCGAGCGGTACAATCCGTGAGACCAAAAGTTCATTCAGGTAATTTGATAGCATTCCTGGGGATCCAACATGACTGCCTTGAATTTTCAAGGAAAGTTCTGAGCAATCAAACTATGAGTTGCAATACCAGCATAAAACAAATGCTACCTCTTTTAGGACGAGTTACAACTCGGCCTGTTCCATTCACCTTGATGCAGTAATTTCCAAGACCCAAGTAGTCTGTCACTTTGCCTTCAATCACGTCGTTCGCTTCGGAAAGTCTGCAACTAACAGTATCTCCCACCTGAAAGTTGCAGGATTAGGAACTCGAAGATGGGAAAGAAGATAGATCTACTTGGAACATGATTTGATCATCTTTCCAGTCTAATCCAAGATAAAACAAGGTGTTAGCATGACAGAAAGTGAGTCGAAATTTGATCTCAGATTATACCTTGAAACAAGAAGTCCGACATACAGATAGACGCTGACAACACCAGCTCTAGTGCAGTGGAATATTGTACAGCAGATGGATTTGCATGACATGTAGGCTCGCAGCAGCAAGATATGGCTTCCGAGACATGCTTGATGGCTTGGAAATCAGATAGCTTGCTAATAATTTCATAATCCCTCAAGCCGAGAAGAGCACATATTCTTCGGACAGCTTTTGAACATTTCGACAAGTTGTGAAACGGCTTGGAGACAGTGATCAGGTCGTCTTGCAAAGAAGGAACCTCCACTTCTCGATTGATCAATTCATCCTGTTCAAGCGCTAGACTAGCTTTGCGATACCACCAGGTTGCTTGACTATCACAGATTCTTACCTTAACAAATTGATGTCCAACTTCAACAACTTCTCCTATATCTCCAACTCGTAATGGTCCCTTCACATTTTCGTGTGCTGCTCCTGCTTCGGATGACAGCAGAACCCTGTCGCTGACTCTGAAATTCGGAACTTCCGTATGGGACGAACTTGTGCTGGAGAACGCGTTGCCATGGCTGATAAATATGGTAGCAAGTTCGGGGAAGTCACGGAGATTGATGAGGAGCCTTGAAGCATCTGATGGAGCAAATTCTGATTGTTCTTCATTGTCGATTTCGTCATCGTCGTCTTCATCATCATCCTCCTCAAGTTGTCTGATAAAAACTTCAATCACAAAACCACTCCCACAGTAAATACTCTCACTGGAAATTCAAAGCTTCTACGTTGTCAGACATCGATTGCATATGCTCAATGAGTTGCACTTCATCCCTATGTTCATCGACGAGAAAATCATCCCTGGAGAGATGGAGCCGGGGCGAATGATCGTCGAATACTAGGTCAAACGTCCCATCGCCTGATCGCAAAAATATCAGCACGTGTTTGTTCGAACGGTATCTAGAAAAGTAAGGTACAAATTGAATACCATTTATCTGCGAGATGCGTCCACTATGACCATCTTTCGTAATGACAGCAGCGCCCTGCACAAGATTGTGATTCAGAGCATTCGAGGACATGTCCGACATCCAAGAAGATAATCTGTCGCTGTTCTCCATGATCCAGTCTACCGCCTGGGCAACATCATTGCCAACTTGATTCAGGACTTGTCTGCGAATGTCTATGTTGAGCTCTCCTATTCCGAGGGTAGACAACGCCTGGGCAAGCTGCGATTCCAATGAAGTGTCCAACGTTTCATTGGTCTCGCCCAGTGATCCAGGGATCGAGACGTTTGGATCCATTGTTTGGGTCAATAAAGAAACAAATGCTGTATTTCTCTTTCACACACCGTATCTGAGACAGCAACAGGTGTCCAAAACCAAACACACTTGATGGCCTTTTAACGCCAACGTCGAATTATCAGTACATAGTTGAACAGATATTGCAAACTGCAACTTGGTTGGTGTTTGGTTCACAGATGATACATTCAGATGCGATTGAATGTAGTCTTTCAAGAACAATACTTCAAGAGGTTGCGACGACAGTTAGGGTTTACCGTCGCACACCGAGTATGACCCAATCTTGTTAAGGCGCGCAAACTTGGGGACTAGTCAGTCAACATGCAATCCTGCAAAACAAACGCGAGAGACAATCAGTGTGAAAAAGAAGATCATTGATTATGAAATTCTATGTTCGGTTGAGCATGCTGATTTCCGAACGAGCCCAAAGGCTTTTTCATCTCTTCGGTTTTTCCCACAAATCTTTGCAACTTCCAACGTAAAGGTCAAGATCACATGAGCTCTTAAACATAGTCTACTTCTATTCTGACTGTAATTGATTACTATGGCTGGAACCACTACTGCTTCGTCAGTCGCCTTCATTTGTTCTCGCTTTGCCTGCACCTGTCCCGACGCTGTCCATGTCCCTTTTGTTCTGGTGCCAAGAGTCCCTTTTCGGTCCATGCCTTTGGCGTTTCTTGGACTGTCTGCCTCTGCCTTCCCCTCCCTCCATCTCTGTCTCCACCATTCTCCTTCCATCCCTGCCCCTTCCCCGCCTTCCCCTCCGCCATTCCTTGCTTACCTGCTGTCAACATCACCAGCCGCAAGCGCCACCTGCATGGGTGGGAAATAGAGGGCAGCAACTGAGCGTGGGTGGGGTGGTGAGAGGACAGGGGTGGTTGAAGAGGGTGGTATTCAGGGGGGGGAACAAGGTGGGGTGGTCAAAGGTGACCTCAGTTCGAGTAGATGATAACTGGGCTACTAGGAGGTTCAACACGTAGGGGTAGTCACAGTCGGCATTTGTACGGGTACTTTTTAGAGCATGAACGAGGGAGATGACGGGGGTAGGTCAGGGGAGAATCTGCTTCAGAGTAGGGTAGTCTGGGGTAGTAGCATTTGTAACAATCACTCTGGGATGGGTGACTCGCCAGAGCCCCGGCGCCCTCGGCGAAGGGCCCGGCCCGGGCCGGCCGAGTCGGGACCGTACTTCCCGCCGCCGCAGCCTCAGTGTGAGCCACTCACTGAACACTCGCGTCGGAGGCTAGAGTACCGCCGCTGCCAGGCTTCAATTGGCCTGACAGTGAGTCCGTCAGTGGCGGGCCCGGTCCCGTCGGAGGCACTGCCGCTGAGCAGGCCCGGGTCTTTTCTTGCCGCGGAGTTAGAACTCAGACGGTGTTCCCCTCGGAACCGTTCAACCGGGTTGCCGCAACTTCCGAACGACCTGACGGTGACCGTACTGGCCCATGCCACACACGGTACTGTAATCCGATCATCCGATCGGATTGGATATCGGCGCTGAGCCCAGGCTAATACGCCTTGACGGCCGCGTCGGAAGTCAAATCTTTGAAAGACCAACTTGCACAGGCTTCGTCGACGAAAAGCGGGCAGAAATGACGATGATGATGATGCGTCGGATCATTCTCCAGTCGATCGATTGAACAAATTTCGGAAGCAGAAAGAAGATTTAGCGAAGAAGCATCAAGATGATCAAGATGATCAAGATGATCAAGATGATCAAGATGATCAAGATGATCAAGATGATCAAGATGATCAAACTCAGCAGCAGCCACCGCGGAAGGAACAGCAGTTACAGCAACAGCTCCTGCAGATCCAGCAGCAGTTTCAGCAACAGCTCCTGCAAATCCAGCAGCAGGTACATCAGCCACTGCAGCAGGGGCAGCAGCCCCAGATCCAGCATGTCCAGAAGAAGAAAAAAACGCCCGTCAAGCGACAAACAGCAGATCATATAGGACTTATTTTGACAGAGAAGTGCAAATTCAAGATTCAAGATCTTCAGATCAGAACTTTTGTAGAAGCTTTGAATATGCTGCCTAGTGCAGGCTATGGAAAATATTATGAAATATTGAAAAAAGATCCAGAATCTTCCTGGGATAGAGCACATTTCAAAAGGCCGCAGGGCCACTGACTGGCCCACTCAGGGCCGGCGGGCCCCGGCCCGGCGGCCGCCTGAGAGACCGTACCACGCCGGTTCAACGGTTCAACGGTTGCCGCAGCCTGTGCGGCCGGCCCGCGGGCTCCGGGGCGGCCGGGTTGAACTCGCCGATCGGATACAGGTATGGGTGCCCTGAGGCGGGCTCGAGAAATGAGATGATGACCCCTGGGTAGGAGATCGACTAGGAGCTTAATGAAAATTTACTATTTAATTTGAAGATAAAATCAGTCATTTGAAATGGCCCTTCCTATCCCGACCGGCATGAAACCATGAAAAAGTTGGTAGCATCGTTGAGGCGGCAGAAGCCCAAGCAAGAGAAGATCGCCGAGAAGACATGTAAGGAGAGAAGACAAGGAGAAGGAAAGAAGTGCAGAGGGATTGAGGGAGGAAGGAAGGGGAGGAGGAGAAGTGAGAGCAATCTTGGTGATTAACCGATCTCCTGGTTCGTCAGGCGCGAACTTCGAGCCCAGTGTGAATCTTGCTAGTTCAATCTTAAAGCCGCAGGTTTCAATGATTTTCAGCTCTATGTTCGCTTATCGTGGTCATCGCAGGATCCTGATATCCCAGCATGGTGCATGGAGGATGATGTAGCTTCCTCTAGGCATGCCAATACAAGCGATCATGTCTCGTGCGCAATATGCCACCAGGTCTTCTATCTTAAGAGTCCACCTTGCACAGCGACTGACGGAGATGCAAGCCGTCTCAAAGGAGATGGAAGTTCCTCCCGTGCACTCACTCTTTTCACGAGGATTGCATCGATGTGCGTTTCCTTCAAATGACCGTGTGGTGTTCCTTCATTTGAGACAATCGACGCAGGCGTGGTTTGACAGGCAGCCTTCATGCCCTGTCTGCAGAACAAATTTTCCCAGGACGCAAGGTTTGCACTCGCTGCCCTCCACCTCTGCTGCAGCTCACATGGCTGATTGGTTGTGTAGATACGAACGTCCACTCTAGTGTTTGGCTGGGTTCGATGGCGGTGGTGAAGAATGATGAGCAAGTGACGGCAGTCCACAAGTTCGAGGTTCAAACTAAGATCATGCTCTACTGAGATCTTACCGCTGCCACAGCAACTGATGGATCCGAACAACATCGCGAGGGCCATTGTTCCTCGCCCGATCAATAACTTCATGGATCGTCTCCCCACAGAAGAAAGGTTCGCAGCGGAAGTGAGTGAAGTTGGGGGCATTCCTCCCTCCTTGTGGCTACAACACGATACAAGTGCACTTTACTGACTTTGGATCCACAGGGGCTCACAACGCTGCTGGATCCAGCCAAGTTACTCGTACACGAGGTGGTTCCCTGATTGCAATAGCTCTACCATGCCAGTACTCATTTTGTCAAAGGTCAAAGAAGACATTCAAACATATTTTCATCATGTTTGGCATGGCCACAACGAGAATCAAGCGCTAATTGAGAATGGAGAATCAGACGAAGCAGGTCGGATTGCCTGCCCAACCAGGAAGGCACTGGAATGGAAACCGACTCCGCCCTCTCATCAAGAGGGTGAAAGCAGAAATCAAGAAAAGGGCGTTCACTCACGGAATAGTAACTCCTCTTTGATCAGAATTCAGCCGGCAGCGATTGATGTAGGAGGTGCCCAGCCTCATGAGTTGGTCAGAGAATGTGAGCAGCCAGCCCACACCAAATCGCCAAGTACGCAGAAACGGCATCCCTGTGCGGTCACCCGTGGAACTCACTGCCAGGCGCGAAGTGGTGAACGAGTTAGAACGTCATTGTCGAGCGACGTTCAACAACGAGATACCACTGACTTTCTATCGGGATGAAGCATGGGAGGATGGCAACGATACCAGCTTTCCATCGTTCAGCTGGAAAAGGCCAGAGAGACTGTGAGAGTTTGAAATTCATCGTTTAGCTAGTTCTTGTCGGACCCAATTGAGGATAAAGGAGGAGTGGTGGAAACTTCCGTATCTCGAGACCCGCAGGCTGTAGGATCTTGTCAAGCAGGGCATGCAGGGCGAAGGTGGTTCACCTCGACTTCTTCATCACCAAATAGAGGGAAGGGAATGCTTCAACGTTGAACTTGTCGCTGTATGCTGCTGGCACGTGATTCTGCCATCCATCCATCCTTGCCAGCTTCAAGGAATTGCGAAAAGTATGGTTGGAATCACTTGCAACCTGCTCAAAGCAAGAGATCAGTCTCTTTGCGAAGATCGCGACTCATCACCAAGCTCGCGAGTTTTCGAAACTCAGGATCCATCAGGCGACAATGAGGACACCATGGAGCATAGATGTCGATCAGGATGTTCTCCTTGCTCGTGACCACATCCTGCTCGAAGGTTTCTTCCGTCACCTGTTGACTCTCAGCATCTCGCACGCACTTCGCCTCTCCATACAATCTTGATTCCCAGCTTTGTGGCCTCTGCTCTCGCATCATAGTCCCACAAGTATCCGTGCCTGAGCTGCTTCGAGCGAGTCACGAAATCTTGTAGGGATTGGTAGTTCATCGGCAGATGGATCCCGCACTCAGACTTCCCCGCCACGCTCTTCCACCTCCCAGCACGCTCGCTGTCGAACTCGCTGCTCTTGTCAGTGGAGATGGTGTCCCCGATTGATGTGTACCCTCGGTCATGCAGGGCATTGTACGGCAAGTTGTGCTTCTTGATGTACTTCCATACATCCTCTCTCTCCCACACAACAAAGGGGTTCACTTTCACTCGGTTGTCGTTCTGATCGACTTCAACCAGGGGGAGATGCGACCGCTCGCCTCCCTGAGACCTCCGCCTTCCCGTCACCCATGCCAACACGCCGAGCTCGTTGAGGGCGCGTCGGGTCGGTTCGATCTTGGTCAAGAACTCGAACAACTGCAGGTCGACCTTCCACAGCTTGCTGCCATAGGCCTTCTCGAAATTCTCACGGGAGCCCTCCAAGGACTTGTACACCTTGAGGTTGTCCCCGAGCTTGAAGAAATCCTTGGCCTTGGCGATGAGGTCGTAGGTCTCCGGGAACAGGTGGAGAGTGTCAACGGTGACGATGCGAGTATGGCGGATCAGGTCGAGCTTCTGGATGTGATGCAGGAGGGCAATCCCCTGCGGCCCGAAGCTCGTCATCTGCACCCATGTTGGACCTGTCTTGTTGGGTCTGAAGGTCAGGTTGATCCAGCTCAACAGCCTGGTCGGCTGCTGCTCCCATGGAAACTTCTCGAACGCTTCGCTGAGGTTGCGCGCTCCCACTTCGCTGAGGGTGTTAGAAATTCGGATGGAGGGGACGTGGAGATCGTAGGCGGTCTTGTAGGAGGACACGAGGTCGACTGTGTTGCTGAGAGCCTCGGAGAAAATCGATGGTGCGAAGTGGACGATGATGAGTAAGTTCACCGCTACCGCCACGAACACAAGGGACTGGAAGACATCAGAGGAAGACGGCGGCCACATGCAAGCAGGTCTCCTGGCCTTCGTGAGCCTCCTCAATCGCCGCATGAAACCGGCGGCTCAATTCTCGAAGTTCGTTCCTCCATGCTCGTCGCCTCCCGATTCAGTCTCCTGCGCTTCAGTCACCATGGCTTGACACTTCTGATGCGCTCTCTCGACTCCTCGCATGCACATACTTGCTTCTTTTCTCCCTCCCTCCCCTCCCCCTCCCCACCAGTCTCTTGCTTACTACGCATTACCATGGAGGTGCTCCAATCCGCGCTAGATGGCTGACCAGTACTTTGGCGATCTCAGCGCGATGCTGAGCGGTAAAGTGGCAGTGGTTACCGGCAGCGGGCGAGGGATCGGAGCAGCGACAGCGCGTCTACTAGCAGCACAGAGAGGTGAGGTGAGGAGACGCAGGGCAGACACGTGCATGACGCTGCCGTCTTGTCTCAGCCAGAGTTGTCGTCAACGACATACGCCCCGAGGTAGCGGAGGACGTTGCGAGTAGCATCAGGAACCAAGGTGGAACAGCCATCTCAGTCGCAGGCAACGTGATGGAGCCTGAGTTTCCCATGAAGATTCTCAGCAAAGCCAATTCGGAGTTCGGCTCTGTTGACATTCTTGTGAACAATGCTGGTGCGCGCGTCCAGGAATAGTGGATGCCATGGCATTGCTGATCAGTTTGCAGGCTTCACCTGGGATGGGATGATTCAGAACATGACAGACGAGCAGTGGGATGTAATCATCAACGTCCACGTCAGTTCCCCTTTCCGTATGATACGAGCTGCGGCTCCATACATGCGGGACCTGGGGAAGAAGGAGCTGCAAGCGGGAGAGGCGCCCAAGGACAGGAGCATCGTCAACATCTCGAGCACGTCAGGCTTGCATGGAAACGTAGGACAAGCCAACTATGCAGCAGCAAAGATGGGGGTGATTGGATTGACAAAGACCGTAGCCAAGGAATGGGGTCCTTTCGGCGTCCGATGCAACGCCGTCGCCTACGGGTGGATCAGTACTCGGCTCACAAGGTCTACGGAGCAGGGAGAGGTGGTCGAGGGGCTGAATCAGACGGTCACGCAAGGGATTCCTCCTCACGTCTTGAAGCTCCTGATGGTGAAGAGCATCGTCGGCATCATCTTGTTGTTGTTGACTTGTCTGTGCCAGGACCCCGAGAAGCTGCGGCAGGCCGTCCCTCTTGCAAGGATCGGAACGGACGAGGAGGCTGCTGGAGGCGTGATGATGCTCGTCTCTCCTTGGGCGAGCTACATCACAGGGCACACGTTGGAGGTGACAGGCGGGTTTGGAATTTGATTCTCTCGGATGCAGTCAGATCAGTACTCGCTCACATTGAACAACCAACTTGCCAAGTACTAGCATGCCATCAGTGGGCCGCCCCATGCCAGTTCCGAAGTTCGATCTCATCGGACAGTCGTCAGGGTCACTCCTCGACTCTCAGGCTACTCTGTGATAGTCCTCTCTGCCTCGCGGGTTGGCTGAACGGTTTCGCCAAATGCCCACCATCCGATGATCATGCCATGATGGCACTGCCACCGTCCAGTGACCCGGCCGGCCCGGCCCGGGCCGCCGCCAGCCGCCGCTCCGCCGCTCCGCCGCCGTTCCGAGTTCTACTGTGCGACTCACCGTCACTGACACCGGCCCGTACTTCAAGTCAAGGGGGCCGCAGGGCCCGGGGCCGCCGGTCCGACTCAGACACGCCGCCGCCGATGATGCCACCGACTCACAGGCCGGGCTGCCAGGCTCGGAGCCTGTGAGCCGCGGAGCCACCGGGGTGACACGGGTGACACTGCCGTCACCCGGTGACCCACTGTGGCGCCACTGCAGTGCCGGGTACCGGCGGTCGCGGGTCGACGCGCCCCGGGCCGCGGCCCGCCTGCTAAGTTGAGTCACGTGAACGGTGTGACAGTGACAGTGAGGCCCTGCCGGCGTGACTCGCCGCGGCGCCAGACTCGCCGCGGCCGCCGCGCGGTCCGTCAGGGGCGGCGGTCCAATGGTTCGATCCGATCCGAGGGGAGTCCGAGCCAGGCTCAGTCACAGTGTCCGCCGGGCGGCCCGGCCCCGGCCGCCGCCGGGCGCGGCCTCCGCCGGGTCCTACTAGGCTAGTGTGGGTCGCCCAGGCCCCCCAGAAAGGCGAAAAGACTAGTTTTCACAACCTTGCTCACTGGTCAAATGAGTATGTCTCCTGGTCAAATAAAAAAACAGGAAAAAAGAAGGAGAAGCGAACACAAGAAGGGAGGCAAGGAGAGCAGAGGAAAACTGACAGTGCCCATTAGTGCTCCCCTCCTCCTCCTCTCCTCCTCTTCTTCCTCTGTACGACGAATACTTCTGGATCCGAGTGAAGATCTCTTCCCCCTTTGATAGAAATCCACTCTTGAGGTATACCATCCGCTTCGGCTCGATAGGATGAAGTATCAAGGTAACACACTTGAATCTTTCATGGAAGGCGGGCCCTTATTGATGTCCTTTTCAGGTCTTATTGGCCTTATCTTTTTATGTGAACTGAGCGCTGTCTTCGCGGAAGAGTCCACTACTACATCGAGCTCGTCGTCGGACAGCAAGTTCAACGTTCCAGCGCTGTTCATTACCTTTCGGGAATCATTAGAGGGATGTGTCATCATATCTCTTCTGTTGAACATGCTCGATAAGACGGGATTACACGAACTGAAGCGATGGGTTTGGTTTGGAGCGTGCTCTGGAATCGCTGGCTTCATTGTGGTTGGTGCAATTCTTATCAGCGTGTTCTACGCGATCAAGTCCTCCGTCCCCGAACATTTTATGTACGTGTTTGAAGGAATCCTTGCTCTGTTCGCCTCCTTCATTCTAGCAGCTCTTGGACTTGGTTTCTTGAGGCTCAAGGATCTAGAGAAGAAGTGGGAGAACAAACTCTTCAACCGCGAAAACGTCAAAGCACCTGATGCGCAGACTTCATGGGTCAAGCAGAAAATTGCTCAATTCAAGGACATGCTCTCAATCAGACATCAGGCTATTGACGAGGATGTCAGGTCGCGCGGGGTCACTCCATGGATGATCTTCTTCATCGCTTTTTCGTCGCTTTTTCGCGAGGGAGTGGAAACGGTCTTCATGCTTCTTTTCGTCAACGCTGATCCTGGAGGTCTTGCCCTCGGTGGTGCGGTGGGGAGCGTGTGTGGGATCGTGTTCGGCTACCTGGTGATGGTGATCGGGAAGTACTTTCTGGTTGATGTGTCAATGTTCTTCAATCTGACGACTGTCTTCATCCTGTTCATCGCGGCCGGGCTCTCAAGATACGGTTCGCACGAGTTCGAGGAGCTTGCTGCCGAGTGGGCGGCAGATAGGAACGATCCAGTCATAATGCGCTCCCTGTACGATCTGACCGAGTCCTGGGGCCCTGGATGGACTCACACCACTGGATGGGGGGCCGTTGCTCGTGTGCTGTTGGGGTATTCGGACAACCCTACCTTGATCGAGGCCCTGGCGTACCTCTGCTTCTGGCTCCTGGTCGTCACGATAATTCTCAAGCGCTACAAGAGGGGAACCCTCTTCACTCGGTTCGCGCCAGGAAGCAGAGCATCCTCTGAGTCCGACATCGAGGAAAAGCCGCAGCACTTCGATGCTAAAATGAATGTGGAACAGCCGGTGCCGTCGGTGGCCATTGCGTTTCATCAGCCGCTGCAGGGTGAAATCTTGCCAGTCTGGACGGCGATGCAACATCCAGTGTAAATCTAGCTAAATATTTGATGGGGCTAAGTATTCATTACAAAATTCCTTTGGTATGTTGTGGCGATGTCTTCGTCGCATGCTTGCATCAGATTGGCACGCCATGACTGTGCAATCTCCTCTCCAATTTGCAACGGCGAGTCACTCGTCAGGATGCGGCACCGGGTTCACAGTCCTTGCGCTATCCAGCACCGTCTTGTGCCTTCAAGTAGCCTGCATTCACGTCAGGAGCTCCCGTATCCTGCCGTCGCAGTCCGAAGGAACGATCCAGTAATGATCACTAGCGAACATGATCTCCTTGCCATGGCGGAGGGCGAAGTCAAGACCTTCATCGACCACCATGTTGCGCTCGAAGAAGTCTCGATGGCCGGCATTCTCTTCCCCTACATCAACGCTAGGAGGATAGAAGATGTCCGAGCCCCTCAACCACCCGTAGCTGAAACTTCCTGCAGGCCAGCACGAGTGCGCGATACCCCACCTTGCCGCAACCTTGTGGTCCGCTGACCCGATGTGGCCGCACGAGGGGCGAACCGAACGCGTGAAGCTAGGGCGCTCCTTGAGCCATTGCTCCATCGCTAGGAAGAACCTCGCACCATCTTCTCCATAGGTAGCAGGATCGAGAAGATCTGCCTCCTCCTTCACCCTCTTGCATGTCGCTTCGTCGTATCCTCGGTAGAGCAAGTGTCCTCCGCTCCTTCTCACGGCCTCGATCATGGGTCTGCACTCCTTTGCTATGCTTTGGATGCAGGCATCTGATACCTGCATGCCCCTGCGATCCGCTACGGGGAAGCAGAGAGACTGAACGACGGGAACAAGCACGGGAAAGGCAAAGGACCGTCGGTTCGATCTCATAGCGTCAGAAGCTTGACCATGGGCCAACAATGACGCTCCTCGCGCCGTGCATGGCACATGGACTTGCTGGAAGGCCACCGACGCGCTCGAGGGCATCACCGGAGGCATCGCAAGTCCCTGCTGCTCCTTCGTTCCGTCGTGTCTCGGTTCTGCTCCACCCTGTTTGCCTCCTAAAGGGGGTAATAAAGCAGGGTGGGGTGCTCTGCTTGATGTTGGGGGTGGGGGGGTGGGGGTGGGATTTTGGAAGTGGCCATGCAGAGGGCGGGAGGGAAGGGGACAGGGCAGGAGAAGAAGGAGAGGGAAGGTGGAGGGAGGGAGGGGGAGAAGGGGGACATGGGGGGATGATCATGATAGGAGGGCACGTCAAGTAAGATAGAGCAGGCGACATCAGGGTGTTGAGAAGCTCAAGGATGGCGAAGGGATTGTGTGGATGATAATAGTGACGGAGACCAACGAGTTGCAGAGGAGCAGTCAAACACGAGCAGACAAGGGGGGGAACACTGACTATGTTTTGTGTGATGATGAATCTGTCCTGATGGTTGGTCTGCTGTTAGGATAACGGGGGATATGGGCGTTGCGAACGAAATGCGGGGTTCCCATGGGAGACAACATGGCAAGCACGTCAGAGTGCATGGTGGGAGGAGCAGGTTTGGATACATCCCTACGTTATCGTTGCTGGTTTTGGTTGTGTTCCTCTCTGCTCATCACTGCTCGGCATTGAAGAAGCTTGACCTTGAAGACCTGGAGGAGTTGGAGAAGAGTGACGACAGTCAGGGAGGGGCGGCAAAGGTGAGTCACAAAAGTACGCGAGTTGTGATGGGCCTTGATGACGATGGTGGGATCTTTCAGATGGAGTTGAAGCGCGGGCAAGAGAAGGAGGATACGCGGAGCATGAAGCTGCCGAGAGAGGAGGTGAAAATGGGGCAAACGCACGAGCATTTGTACGGAGATCGAGAATCGAGCTACAGTAGCGACGGAATGCCGACAAGTTCTGGGCACTTGGATGTCTCTGTGGCGAAGATGGAAGCAATCTTTGCTGCTATACGTCCGGTGAAGCTCTTCCTCCTCATACGGCTTCACATGACCTGAATGGACAGGCTGTTGACCCGATCAAGCTTCTCTTCGGATTGGGATTGTTGTTTTACGGACGGAGCTTCGCTCATGTGATCCTGTTTGCACACTCCTTCAATATCTCGGGCTGGCCGCTGCTTTGGAAGGCGATCTGCAAGTTCGGGATCGGGTGAATCTTTGTCGCTAACGCCGTCGAGTCTGAAGGAGTTACCTAGATATCATGCGTACACTTCTAGTATGGACAAGAGGTCGGCGAACGCTATCAAAGCTGTGGGCGCTGCATTGCATCCCGAGCAGGTAAAAGTCTCCTCAATCTCACGGGGCCTGTTTGCTCGGGGCCTGTTTGCTAACGTGAGTGGTCAAGGTGACTGAGGCCTTCCGGGGCCTTCACTATGGCCTTGTCTCCTGCCTAGCCTCGGTAGTCTCCCCACTGGCAGGTACGAAGACGTCTGCCGCCTGATCTCCGAGGCCTCATCAACTCTTTGACAGGAGCCGCTGGAGTTGGTCTCTCGCTGGGCAAGAGCATCGACCGGTGCTTCACCCCAGCAACTTTCAGGATTAACTTTTGTGTTCAGCCACGTCCAGCCCTTCCTTCGTCGTTACGTCATGACCGACAAGAGGCTCAAGGCCCTAACAAGCGCGCGCATGAGGCTCTGGGTGGACACGCTGACGACTCATGCCTCTGAAGTTGACGAGCTCGATCCAACGTTTTACCTCGTAACCTTTTGCTGCAGGGGATGGGGATGGCGGCCGGGCTGCTGACCATGAGTGTAGTGAACATTCTCTCGGGATGTATGCTTGGGGCACAGGTCACCCGATGACCTGCATGTTCTTTATGACCGAAGGATGCTGCAGCTTGTTGTGGACGTTGCCCTGGTCCATGTGCAGCACCAGCTCAAACGTTTTGCTCTTCGATCGGATCATGCTCTTCTGCACAAGGTGGGGGGACATCAAGGTTTCTTTGGCTCTGAGCTCTGCCAACAGGTGGCAGCAAACTTCAACCCGAAGCATGTCGCTGCCGGAGGGATCACCTATGTCGTGGCCCTCACTGGCTTCCTTTCTCAGCTCCGCCGAGGCTCAGGTCTGGGGTGAGTTGACATGTTTCGAGCTCTAAGATTCAACAGGCACAATGTCTCTCCCGGTACAGATCGTCCTCTTCTTGCCAGTCCTCCTCGAGAAGATGCTCTCCTCTTTCAAAGTATGTCTACCTGTGTGTGAGGTCTGCCATGACGAGCATGCGCAGTTCGCTCTACTCGCAAGGAGAGCACCGCCAGCAGCATAACTTCATGTAAGGATCATCGAAGATATCTATTAAAAGTCTATACACGATTGTTTGTTAGTTTCACAAAGTCCCTCCCCCCCTCTTGCTGTCACGGATGCTCCCGATCTTCTTGGTTGCCGCATCTATGAAGTTGTCGACTCGACCGGTTTCCCGTCCTCCTGGAGGTACGGCGACCCATCGCAGTTGTTGATGAGAGGACCGCAATCCTCAACGAAGGGATCTTTCACGATACCATCAACCCATGGCGACCCGATGCTAGGATCCTCTTTGACCGACTCCTCCAACATGCAAAACCCCCTCGAACTGACAGCCCGCCGGGCCAGGGCGAACATCCTTGTTCCTGAAAACATTGTCAGGGGTGTCTCTTTATGCATCGCGCCTGACTGGCACATTCATAGGGGTGAGAACTTGCATTCTTCTGCTCACTCTTGCTATGTAGACAACCTCCTGTCAAGCTTGCAACTGCATCATTGAAGTGAACGGGTGACTGCCCGACATATGGTACTTATTTCGCTACATCTCTTCATCAACGTCCCAGGCCTCCACCTGTGTCTTCCCCCCACTGTTCCCCTCAAGCTCTGCTCTGCTCTGCCATCATCATTGCTGCTCTAAAAACGGCGTGCAACGGTTTAACGGCCCAACGAGTCAGATACAAACGGCTGACCGTTATATTGGTTTTTCTTCTTTCAACGGTTAATAACGATCACAGTTCGCAATGCTGGACATGCTACCTTGAACTTCCCTTCCTTCGCTTCTCCATGCAGACGCGATGTTCTTGCGTCTTCCTCCTGATGTTGAATCGTATCTGTGTTGACTATCTCCTCACATTCCCATCCCGCAACCTTGCCTTCCTACCCTGAGATCACGATCACGACCCCCGTAGACTCGTTGCCATTCGTTACCCGCGCTGCATCAACCCTAGCAAAGACTTTTCTTCTCTCTTTTCTATCCTATCGTTGCTACCTTGTTGTTGGTCTCCTTCATGAACCTTTCTTTCCATCTTCCTGCTCTTCTTCTTGCTCTCTGTCCTGGTTGCTTCAATGTTGGCTCACTGCAGCCAGAGCTGGTGTTTTCGAGCAGTCTTGAATGTCGATCTGACTATCCTTATGCAGTTTCGCTAGGCTTGCTCACAGTCTCATGGATCGCTCACCACACGTTTCGGTGAGTCCCTCCGTTCTCTGGGTCAGGCGCAGCTCATTCGAAATGGCATGTAGGGTGTGGGTGATGAGAACTGATACCTGCGGTCTTCGAGAGCAGCTCCTTGTAGCAGATCGCTGAGTCTGCTTCAACCATGCACAGTGAGCAACAAGTGTTGCTGTGAGGCAACTCAAGTCATTGACGCCTTGCATGTAGAGTATCGTCTGATAGCGAAAAAGGGAGAAGGCACCTTCTCCGAGGTACCTTCAACGTCATCAGCACCCATTGCTTCCCTCCCTCCTGGGATCCTTGACGGTCCGAGTGAACTGTAGCCTGCAGGTGCTGAAAGCACAATGCGTCAAGAACGGCAAGGTGAAGGAGGCTGGCGCTGCGGGGGGGAGATGCTGAAACGAGGAGCAGATGACGGCAATCAAGTGCATGAAGAGTCAGTTCGAAAGCGAAGAGCAGGTCGGCGACGTGTTGCTCCTGCTCCTGATCTGACGTGGCGATGTAGGTGAACAATCTCCGAGAGATTCAAGCTCTGCGGCGACTCTCGTAAGGACTTCTGTCTGCCTCTTTCCCTCCTGCCGCTCTCTGTGCGTTCACCTCCACATTGCGCAGGCCACATCCCGGGATCATCAAACTGGTCGAAGTTCTCTACGAACAGCCGACGGGTCGACTGGCACTGGCATGTGGAAGAGAGGAAGGAGGAGAGGAGCTGATGGCGACCAGGTGTTCGAGCTCATGGATATGAACATCTACGAGCTGATACGTGGGAGACGGCAGTACCTCCCTGAAGCGAGGATCAAATCTTACATGTACTGCTCCTGCTCCTGCTCCTGCTCCTGCTCCTGCTCCTGCTCCTGCTCCTCTTGCTAGCTACTTACTCAAAGCTCACCAGGTACCAACTCATCAAGGCGATGGATCACATGCACAGTGAGTGAAGAAGATGAGGTTTGACGAGATTATGACAAGGTCTTGAAGGAAATGGAATTTTTCATCGAGACATCAAGCCTGAAAATATTCTCATCTCCGATGACGTATTACCCACCTCCTTCCCCTCTCACCGCTGGATCGCTCTCCTTCTCTCGCTCCTTCAGATCCTCCCCCCTCCACTGCTTTCTCCCTCGTGCAAGGTCTGATCCAACAACAGGTGCTAAAGCTGGCTGACTTCGGGTCCTGTCGAGGAATCTACTCGAAGCAGGTAGAGGAAGAAACGATCAGTATACCATGCTGACCTCCTTCGCCTCTGCTCTCCTCCCTCCCTCCTGTTCTTCTCTCCTCCTCTCTTGGTTCTCTCCCCTGCCGTTCATCCTCCTCTCTTCGTCTCCAGCCCTACACGGAGTACATCTCCACCCGCTGGTACCGGGCCCCGGAGTGTCTCTTGACGGACGGCTACTACAACTACAAGATGGACCTCTGGGGAGTCGGCTGCGTCTTCTTCGAGATCATCAGCCTCTACCCGCTCTTCCCAGGTCCTTCCCAGCTCGACTCCAGCTGGACTGACCTCCAGCAGGCACCAACGAGCTGGATCAGATTCACAAGATCCACAACATCCTGGGTAAGAGGAGGAGCTGCTTGCCCTCTCATCTCACTGGCGAGCGCAGGAACTCCTCCCCAAGAGATCCTCGAGAAGTTCAAGCGGCACGCCACTCACATGGTCCACTCCCTGCCCTCCCTGCCCTCCCTGTCTGCTCAGCATCTGTCTGCTTGCTCTTGGTCTTCATCTCTTCCTCCCCTCACTGTTTCTGCAGGAGCTCAACTTCCCTCCCAAGGAAGGCAGCGGCGTCATGAAACTCATCCCCCACGCGCTCGAGGTGACCGTCTCCTCTCCTGCCTCGCCCGGTGCTCATCCGTTGTTCTCGCGCCTCTCGAAATTTCAGTGGGAAGATGGTCAGGTGAGATGCGAAGAAGAGGAGGAGAGGGGAGGGGGAGGGGAGGGAGGGAAGAGTCTTTCTCTCGTTCTAACACGCTGAGCAGGACTGTATCGATCTGATCCTCAAGCTTCTCACCTACAACCCGGAGGATCGACTTTCCGCTCGTCAGGTGCCCTCCGTGTGTGATCGCATGAGAGACTGTTCACTTGTGCTCCTCCTGCTCCTCCTCTCCCCTTGTCTCCTTCCTCTCAAACTCCTGCTTTAGGCTTTACGGCACGCCTTCTTCAAGGATCTGCGGGACATGGACAAGAGAGTAAAGCGCGAACTTCTGGCTCAGAAGGTGAAGAAGAGTCTGCTCTCCTCTTCCTGCTCATGACTTTCCTTTCCTCGCCTCCGCGCCGTCCAACCCCTCCCCTCCCTCCCTTCCCTCCCATCCTCCTCGCTTGACATTCTCTCGCAGGAGAACGCCATGGCTCTTCCAGGCACAGCAACAAGCTCAAACCAGAGTGTACACCAGGAGGTCCATACCTGCGTTTTGGTCCCTAGTCCCTCGCCACTCCGCCCTCGCTCCCCCTCCTTCCCCCATCTTCCCTCCCCCCCTTCTCCCTCCCTCCCTCCTCCTTCCCTCCTCCTCCCTCCTTCCTCCCTCCCTATTCCTTTTTCCTGGTTCCTCTCACTCCATCCTGTTGTCTTCTCCTTTGTTCTGATCGCTTCCCAGCAGCCGGTGGCCCCTCGCACTCACCGGCGAGCGCAACAGGCAGGGGAGGAGGAGGCAGCTCGAGGGGACACGCTGAGCAAGCGAGCGCTTCCGACCATCAAGGGCTCCCACACTCACGACTTTGTGAGCCAGTGCCTCTCCCCCCCCCCCCCCAACTGCCTCCTCCTCTTCCGCTAACAAACCCCGCCCACCCCCTCCCAACAATCCTCTCTTTGCGTCCACCTCCTCCCCTGTCCTTCTCCTCTGTCTCCCCGCTCCTCCTGCTCTCTCAGTCTGACTCTGCCTGCAGAGTTCAACCTACATCAATCAGAGCATTGCTCAACCTCCTCTCGCGCCAGGACCTCCGCAGCACACACACCACCATCAGGTGAACACCCAGCTTGAACTTCTCCTCTCCTCTTCTTTCGTCTCGTCTCGTCTCGTCTCGTCTCGTCTCTTCTCTTCTCTTCTCTTCTCTTCTCGTCTCTTCTCGTCTCGTCTCGTCTCGTCTCGTCTCGTCTCTTCTCGTCTCGTCCCTCCACTGCCTTGGATCAGAGGCATCTAACGAGTTACGTTGAGCAGCAGAAGGCAGTGGACAAACCCGGCAAATCTCTTTCGCTGCATCCTGCGCTCCCCGACTTAACTTCTTCCGCCTCCCTTCGCGCTGTGGTGAGAGGGAAGGAGGAGATTCGAGTGAGGCTGATGACTCAGCAGGCAAACAAGACCAGCAACGTGAACTATAAGAGCTCGAAGAAGCATGGAACCTTCCCCAAGAAATCCAGCAAGGTCTCCCTCCTCGTCCTCCTCTTCCTTCTCCTCATCCTCCTCTCCTCCCCTCCTCCTCTTCTCCTCTCCACCTCTCCTCCTCATCGCCTCATTTTCTTCCTCCTCTTCATCTCCTCTTCTCCTCATTTCCACCTTTCTCTCTGCTCTTCTCCTCCGTTGCATCTTCACTTCATTGCCCTCCCCTCGGTCTATCGATGCTGATTTCCTTCCTGACCTCTTCCTCCCTTCCCGTTCCCCCTCCGCTTCCGCTTCCCCTCTCTTCTTCTCTGCATTTTCCCCGTCGCTCACAGCTTGACCAGGTGCTGGGCAATTTGCCAACCAGCAACAAGTACGGGACCTCAACAGGTGAGCTCGCGTGCTCGAAACCCGAGCTGACGCCCAGCAGGCATGGGAGCGATAGGATCTGGAGTACCGATGCAGGTGAGAGGAGGAGCAGGAAGAGGAGGAGAGCGGAGGAAGGGAGCGGGGAAGAGGGAGGAGGGAGGAGAGAGAGGGTAGGAGGGAGTGACGAGGAAGGGAGGGGAGAGGAGCCTGTTGATGTTCAACTTCAGATTCAAGGCATGCAAGGAGCTTTCGGATCGCAGGTGGTGCAGCCTGCAGCAAACCGAGGTGAGGAGGAGATAGTTGTTGGAGGATGAGAGAGTTGAGGGGAACCCTACAATGAGGGGTCACTCACCAGTCAGCTCAGCATGCCTGTCACCACTCACTGAGTCATGCCATGCCGCAGTGACCACAGGTACACTCCGGTCGAGTCGCCCACTCATAGGTCCGCGGCTCACGTGTAGTCAGGCGTGAAGGCCTCGCTGCTACTATGCATGGCAACCGGGGCGT